CTTATTAAATACAATATTATATAAAAAATTTATTAAATACTAGAATTATAATGCGATTTTTAATTTTCGGGGGAATTTTTCCAAATCAAGAATTTTTTTTGTCGTAGGAATTAAATCTCTGTGGATATTCAACAGAGCTAACCCATTTAGCCGAGAAGTAGTATTTTGTAAATAAGTTTTCAACCTTCTCAATTTGAAAAAGGTCCTTTCATTCGTATATGTTGTAATAGGCAAACATGCAAGAATATTAAATACCTTCAAAATATTTGGAAATTAAGCCTCCTTATACCGATTGGGCGCATCAATAGCATGCTCAGGTAAAATAATAAACGTAGTAAATATTTATACCACAATTCGAATTCACTGATTAAATTGATTTTAGTATCAATTTCATAGGAATAAATTTTTCTAAATATTTAATTATACCAATAATGGCATCACATCAGCAAACGAAGAAGGGTCTTTGGGTAATAAAATTTGAAGATTACCAAAGACTTGTTTTTTATCTAAAAACCGTACTTTAATTTGCGATAAAAAAGTATCTAAGAATGAAATGAAATTGTATATTTTATAAGATTTAGTTTGATTTAACGTCTATATAAATATTATGAAATATTCAACTACATTCATTCTTCCTGTCCACATTTTCCTCCAAATCAATAACTTGAACCAAATCGAAATTTGGTTTTTGTAAATTTCTACATAGTAGTGAGCTATAGGAAAATAATTTATTAATGTAACTAGCAGTTAGGATAAACTCTGCTTGATATTGAAAATTTTGATGGGGTGGGAGGGGAGGGGGTCGGGGGAAATTTTTTTATTATCTTAAAATAATATTTAGAAAAACAGTCAAATTTGCTATGGGGGGTGAAATTTCCCCCTTTCCCCCCAATGGTTACGCGCCTGACATATAATATATTAATTATCTAAACTAAACTTTTTCGATTAAGATGAAGGGTATTTTATGACCCACATATAAATAATACCTATTAAATACATGGTAATAAATTATAATTTTAATATATTTCACTAAATATCACAACACAACATTACATATATATATTTAAAATGATCAAATAATGGAATAGAAACACGAGAGGGAAGGATTAGGCGATTAATTTTAAAAATGGAATGTCGGAATATATAAGTGATCATTATTTTAATACTAAAATTATAAAAATCTTATTTTAATATAATATAAGGAGAGATGTTTGAACCTTTTATCTATTAAACCAATTTCTCTCAAAAATTGGTCAAAATATGACATGTACATTGCCCAGGAACCTACACAGGAATTTGATATAGGAGGGGGGTAGTTAAAAATAATTTTGGACTTATTCTATGTTTAATATCTGTCAGATTTTTATTAGGTCTAATTACTATAAAATATTGACAACTATGTATCTAAGAAGGGCTAACCCATTCATTCTATTTTTTAGAGGTAGTACATCTCAGGTATGGTTTTGTTCTTAATAAGAAAATATTTTTTCATCGATAAAGGTATTAATGGGTAGAGTTGGATATAATATAATTTTAATATAATTGGGAAAATAGTCTTAATGTTCGAAATTATGCATAGTATCTGTAACATTTTTTTGAACATTATCAACTGTAGATAACGTATTATACCATTTTTTATATTTAGCTAATAATGCATCATAGGATCTTAACATCCTCATAATAAAAATCTGCCAAATATTTAATTTTTTCCCTTCAGCAATATTATTTGTAGCAGATTTATAAGTGCTACCTGATGAATCAAGAAACTTTCATTTATCTGAGTATTAAAAGTATCCAAGAGGGGGATAAAGAAGTTTATTTTATTTCTTCGACAGACCTTATATCAATATTGTAACAATGAGTTCAGAGTCGAAGTAGGCAACTATTATATTTATAGAGCTCTGCTTATGACTCAACAATGACATTAATGTGAAATTCATCACAAAACATTTTCCATAGATTCCAATAGGAGCTATTCTCATAATCCCAATAAAATCGATGTTATTTTTGGAAATTTTTATTTTAGTTTTGCAGTGAAAAAGTTTCAAATGATCTGGTGAGAGACATGCAGGCGTGGGATGGGCCTTATTTGACATTAAATATGCCCGATCCCAGCCTAAAAATTTTTAAAAAAATACCCGGGCCTGGCATTATATTTTAAACCGCCATTATTAGCTAAAAAAATTTAAAATAAATGTAATATATTTAAAAAAAATTCGGCCGGCCTGTGTAAATGGAGCTTCTGCAGGTTCTGATACATATTCTGTAAGAGGTAGTAATGGTTATTATAAGATTGCATCTAAATTTTTTGTCTGAGAGGGGTGGGGGGTGGTGGTAATTTCCCTCTTCCCAGGCTTTGAGTGGCCATATAAAATTTTCATTACATAGATGAGTCTGGTTAAATTTATATTGAAATAAGCTACTTAACAAGCATATAATTAAGATCACCCAATATAAATAATCGGGGATGAGTCTTATGATAAATTGAGATGTTAATATTATTTTAATATGTTTATAATTATCCTTATGAATATATAAATCAATAGTAATGCTAGCTCTTTCTACACTTATTCTATAGTAATATTTTAATGTAATTCTTAAATAAGGCACTGTGCCTAATTAATACAGGGTATATGGTGGCCAATCAAAGCAACCAGTAAAAAAAACTTTCGCGCAAACTTATATAGTGTAAAAACTATCGTAGTCAAAGCTATAATTTAAATTTAATTTATAGATTAAAGATCGGTTGACACAATAATATTAACTGTATTCAATTAACCCCAATTCTTTATCCCTTTTTTTGATAAAAATGAAATCATGATCGTATCACTTCACTCCTGCTCGCGCATTTCACTAGCCATATTCGGTTGGGAAGGAGAGTTAAAGGGAGTGGCATTTGGCAGGGAAGGAATGAAAGGTGGTTTATTATAGATAATGACAAAGGTATTGTTAGTTGGAGCTAGAAAACATTAAAAATATTCCCAGCCAACCGTATCATACACAAGCTGACCATAAGAAAATCAAAAAAATATTCCATTAAGTATACCTGGTTGTTCCTGGGATGATTTCACGAAAAAAGCGAGTGTAACAGGAAATTGTAATATCTTAATGATATTGTAATATCTCTTAATATCAGAGACCTGGATGTCCAGCTCGGGTACACGAGCTGAGCCTTATTTTAGTTTTTTTAAATATACCCGGGCCGGGCCGAAAATTTTAAACCAAATATTTTAAATCGCAACTATAAAAATTAAATACTGAAAATATAAAACCTGGGGCGGGCTGGTCAAAAAAATTTAATAAGAAATTTCGAGATGGTACCTCTGCAGGTAGTTGGTTGATATTATAGGTTAGATAATCTTTTATCATAGAGGTCTCGTTAAAGTATTATATGTATGCCAAAAAATTACTTGTAAATTGGTTCTTACTCTCTTTTTGTTTTTCATAAGGGGCAAAAAAATTAATTTTTAAGGTGAAATCCCATACAAGTTTTTTTAAATTACACTGATTTTTTTTACAACTTTATTATACTTATACCGATAAAAATTACTTAATACAATAAAATATGAAAAAGCAGTTTAAATGGGGGAAACATTAAGTAAAAGTATTTTATAAGATTCTTCGAAACTATAATATTTTAGGAGTATACCTAAATGAAATACTCCGAATAATAAGGGATGGGATGCCTTTGAAAATTAACTTCAAACTTAATGCATACAAAAAAACCTAAATAATGGTGGGCACACCATTCTGTGAAACCTTGATGCTCCATGATTCTAAAATGGCCATCGCCTATACAAAACTACTTTTGCCTCACGTGATATGGTGGTATTTTTTTAATTTCAAAAATCCAATTAATATCAACAGATATTGTCCAATTAAAACGACTGTTATTTTCTAATACACGTACGTTTGCTATAACAATAAACAAGTAGTGGAAATTCCTTTCTATTACACGAATAATTTTCGAAAACTTTTGTTTTTTTAATGATGAGCTTTATATGAATCGAATTTATGGGTAAGGACACAAAAATTTTGTTCTTATGTTTGGTTTTAAAAGTCTTAGGAATCAGCTAATTTGTATTAATTTCCTATTAAGGAGCATTAAGTTTTTTTTAAATATACAAAATAATTTTTCTTAGGAATATTATCATCATAACCTGAGTGTACATCACTATTATGAGCTCTCCCATAATAAGACAAAGATTTTAACTAGTGGAAGGATTTAACCTCTTTCAATTGTATGCCTATTTTGAATATGAATTGCCTGTATTTCCCATAATTAATTCCAAAGAAAAGTAAATTATTAAATAAACAATCAATATATAAAAATTTGCATTTAATCATCTTTTTTTCTAAATATGGATTTTTACAAATAATAATTTATTATATTGAAAAAAAATTAATAAATTTTATAAATAATGATTAGAAATTTATATATTTTAATTTAAAACGTTAAATAAAAAGTGCCTTTGTCCCGCGACTCCCCGTTTTTTAATATCAATTTTAATCTTTACAAAGTTCGCGAATCTGACTTATAAAATAAAGTATCTACATTATATACAAATCACTTATCTATAATATTATATGTTTTTCATAAAATTATTATGTTATTTAATAAATAGTATTGTTTAATTTATTCATTGGTGTACGCAGCGGGGGGGGGGGCAGAAGGACAAATCCCCCCCCCCCCCCCCAAGCCAAAATGCAGATGCCGGACATATTTATTATATTTTATTATAATTATTCATATCTATTTCTTTTTAAATTTTTATATTATTACCTTTTTCATTTACTAATTTACTTTATCAATTAATTTCATTTTCAAGTTTTCCTTGTGGCGTAATATTTATCTATTATTTTTAAATTTCCCAGTATTATAATTTTCAAATTTCTAGTCATGGATATTAGACTTTTTTTTAATAACGCTGAAGGTGAAAATCATGCCAAAAAGCAAAAAAGTATAGTATAATAATTTAATAAACAAAAGCTATGAACTGATGATTTCCTCAAAAGAATCAATTCAAAAGGGGGATATGATTCCCATTTCATCAATAATTGATAAAAATAGGGTTAAAATTGCAAAAGAAAATAGAGGCAAGATAAAACTAACTATTGAGGCTATTTTATATTGTGGCATGCAAGGCCTAGCACTTCGTGGCCACAAGGATTCAGGAAGCTTAAATTTTAATAATAATGATAACGAAGGTAATTTCCGTGGACTTTTAAAATTTAAAGCATTAGGAGATCCTGTATTAATGGAGAGCCTCATTAGTACCAATAAAAATGCTACTTATCTCAGCCCTAGGATACAAAATGAGATAATTGATATTTGCAACAATATCATTTTAGAAAAATTGATTGTTGAAATCAATTCTGCCCCATGCTTTTCAATTTTGGCAGATGAGACCACGGACATTGCTGGCATTGAGCAGATGTCGTTGTGTGCGCGATATGTAGATACTCATAAAAACATTATCAAGGAAATGTTTCTCCAATTTATTCCTATTTCAAGCATGACTGGGTCTGCTTTAGCTGATGTAATATTTGTGAATCTTAAAAAATTAAAAATAATAATTAATCTTATTATATAATTATTTTCAAAAATATAGCTAAATATAAATATGATATGTGGGCAAGGGTATGATGGAGCACGTGCAATGAGTGAACAATTTAATGGGCTTCAGGCATTTATTAAAAAAAAATGCCCAACAGCTATAAATGTCCACTGTGCTGCCCATTCACTCAACTTAGAAATATCGGATTCATGTTCTTTACCATTGATATCAAATTGCTTAGGTTTTTAATTATTAAAATTAAATTTTTTATATTTATATCAGGTAAAATATCTAGCATCTATGAGATGTTTAGATACCCAAAATGTCAAAATATTTTGAACAGAACTCCTTGCCCAACAAGGAGAAAAAAATTGCAAAAAGCTTGTCCAACAAGATGGAGTCTTCGACATGCAGTAACAGCTTTTATCGAGTTAGAAGAGCCGATTATTAATGCTCTTACAGAAATATCACAATGGTCTGAAAGAGATATTTCTTCAGAAGCAAGCAAGTTACTGGATTCAATACTTATACCAAATTTTTTTTCGCATTAGAATGTATTAATAAATTATTTAATTATACAACTATTTTATGTAATACTTTTCAAAAACCTGATATTGATTTGATTGAGATGATGAGAATAGCAGAGACAATTTATTAGAACTCAAAGAAATTAGAGCTAATGCTGATGAGGAATATCATATTTTATATGTTAATGTTGAATCAAAAGCAGAGCTATACGAGTTCAATATTTGTCTCCCTCGACTTGCAGTAAGGCAAACTTAATGTCCAAATATTAATATAGGGTCAATAGAAGAATATTATAAAATAAATGTCTTTATACCTCTTTTGGATACATTTATAACCCAAGTAAATGAAAGGTTTTTAATTCATCAAGAAGCACTTATCAATCTGCAGATATTACTTCCGCAAAAGCCCTCTGAACCTTTTTCAGATGGTGATAGAAAAACAATAAAATATTTGGAAGATTTTTATCATGAAGACATTAATGTATCTCATGATGCTTTATTAGCTGAATGCCAACTATGGTATAAAAGATTAACTATGGTTGATATAGTCCCAAAAAATGCTATGGATGCTTTGCATCATTTCAAACATCTTTTAGATTATTTTCCCAATATATTGAAAATATTATATATATTAGCAACTCTTCCCATTAGTACTGCAACTAATGAGAGAACATTCTCTTCTTTACGAAGATAAAAATGTACCTAAGAAGTACAACTTCTGAAAGTAGGTTGAATGGTCTGGCCCTTTTGAATATTTATAGGCATTTGGAGATAATTGAAAAATTAATTCACTCCCAACGAAGATTGGATTTTACATTATAAAAATATAATGTTTCTATAATATTTTTTGTGCTATCATTTTTTATTGTCTTATATATTTTTCTTTTACATAAAAAATATAATTATTCATATTTCCAACATTTAGATTTTTTATACTTTATATATAAATTTTAAAAGCTCAAAAAAATTAAATTTCTATTATGGATTATTTATTTTATAGTCATCATATCCTGGTTATATCCACTTAATATTTTATAATTCAGATTTATTTAAAGTATTTATATGCCGCCGGTTATATCCGTTTAATATTTTTTAAATCAAATTTATTTTTAAATATCGGTTTATATATTTAATTTTTTATAATTCATATTAATTTAAATTTGTATATTAGAAATAGTTATTAGTCCTAATAAATTTATGCTAGATATTTTTAAATAACAATAATTTTATTTAAAAAAATTTTAATTATCCCCCCCACACCAAATTCCTGCGTACGCTACTGAATTTATTATATTATATTATATTATATTATATTATATTATATTATATTATATTATATTATATTATATTATATTATATTATATTATATTATATTATATTATATTATATTATATTATATTATATTATATTATATTATATTATATAATAATATAAATAGGATATAATATAATACACTTCATCATATTTAATTCCATTATTATGTTAAAATATAAGAACATAAAATCAAAATATGTAAAAAGTATTATTATATACAAAAATATATAATATGTAAAAAGGATTTTAAAAAGTTAGACTAGCTCCTTAGGAAGGGAGCTTCAGAAACTGATGTAATTCAATTTATGAATGGCAATAGAGAGTTTTTGTTCAAGGTAAAAACCTTCCCTGGGTTCATCAGTGATTTTACGAATAAAAGAACCAAGTTCTTTGAAGAAGGTCAAAGCACGGCCACCAAATGTGGCTAATGTAGAGGAGATTATAGGAATAAAAATGTGCTCATTGGATATTACCGAATATCTATTAATTTTGGATAGCTCTTTGATTTCCAAGGAATAAAAATGTGCTCATTGGATATTACCGAATATCTATTAATTTTGGATAGCTCTTTGATTTGCAAGATGTTTGAATATCTATTAATTGTGGATAGCTCTTTGATTTCCAAGATGTTTATTGTAAGATTTGTAAGGGCTAAGGGATCTATACAGGAATAGTCCCAAACTATAAATCTTACAAGGATTTGGGCAATTCCGCCAGATCTCAAAGGACCATTGGGTTCTAGGATCGATGGAATCTGCGCAAATTTAAGAACACGTTGAATAATGACATTACAATGATTTTGTCTTGGAATACGTCTTTTTCATGAACGGCAGTGCAGGTTATGTCGTCCCTTTCAGTCAACAGGAACATTACATCGAGAGCAAAGGTAAGGTTGGGTAATTGAATAATTGAGGCGGATTTCAATGGCATTAATGAGTACATTTTTGGCATGTTTTAATTGAAGATTGACAGAAGGGAGAGCCTCGAAAAACTGCCAAGAGCCATTTAGCAGGCGAAGGACGAACTAGGGGTTTAATGTTTGATAGTAGAGTTGAGCAGGCAACAATCGGGATGATGTCCCATTCCTTTTGTTTGTAAGTGACCGGTAAAGTGTTGTCAACAAGAATTTGAGATCTCCATAGAATGCCTCAGTGTACGACGAATCGTCCACAGGAATGTGAGCGGTAACAATAGGTTTTGTTAATAAGCAATTTGAGATAAAAGTTAAGCTAAATCAGAATGCCAAGACCGCCAAATTTTCTTGGGAGAGAAGCCTTAGCCCAAACAATTTTTTCGGACAAGATTTAGGATCTCCTCTGTAAATTCTTTGATTCTCGTTTTATATACATTTAAGACCAGGATTTAAAAGCAGCAGTTACCTTAGAGTGTAAAGAATGGGCTTTATATTAAAAAAAATTTTCAACAGAAAAAAACGATTTATAAGGGGAAAGGAGGAGAAGGATATCATCCAATTAAATAAGAGTCTTAAGGGTTGAATCCATAACGGTGCAAACAGCTGAGTTACCTCCAACCGGGGATACTAAATGAATTAGCTGATCTTGATTAATGCATAACTAACTTAACTACTTCTTAATTTTTTTATATATAAATAATAGTAATAAATATTTTACTTGTGTTCTGGTCTTGGTAATTGATAATATACATCTTAAAATATAATGCAAATTTTGTAGGTAATAATATTGGAATTGAATTTTTTAAATATCATATTAAAATTAGTTTTTAAAAAAAATAACTTACAATAGATGCAAGAATCTTGAAAAGCATAGTAGCAATCGTGAAGGGCATTTTTATAAAAAAAATGGATACTTTTAAAATAGTTTAAAAAATTTTCCAATTTTAAAAAATAAGTTAAAAGTTCCTTTTTTTCTTATAATTTATAGTAAACTTTTTTTATAAAATTCGGGTTCAACATATTTTTTTATAAACATATTTATTCCATTATATATGTGGGTTTATAAAAAAATGAATTTAAATGATAAATTTTATCATTTTCATTTTAAAAGAAGATAGATATTTGGACTAATGTAAACATAAAAAATAATTACAAAGTTTAAAGGTTATGTTTAAATAAATGAGTTCTTCAAAATATTTACATAAGATATATTAATTATCTAAACTAAACTTTTTCGATTAAGATGAAGGGTATTTTATGACCCACATATAAAAAATACCTATTAAATACATGGTAATAAATTATAATTTTAATATATTTCACTAAATATCACAACACAACATTACATATTCGAACCTCTAAAAACCAGGTTGAACACTTTTGTATTCAAACCTACATTAGGATTATGTATAAAGAATTTTTTTTTTATTTCATAATTAAAATAAAAACCTTCATTTTTATTAATTGCACATTATAAAATAATATTTAATTTATAAATATAACAAATAAAATCAATGATTAATTTGAATATGAAACAATTACTTAAAAAAATTTTATTAAGCCGCACAATTAATATATTCTAAAAATTCGTCTCACAAATTACATCTATAAGGAGATAATATGCTGAAAAACATCTTTCCACACTAACTTGGGTAGCTGGCATTGCCAGTATGATATCAGATTTGATGTGTTATTTATAATACTATATGTAAATAATTGATATATTAGATTTAATTTTTTTCTAGGCATTATAATTTTAAGCTTAAAATATTTAAAAAATGTTGTAAAATGGCAATATACTAAAGTTTATAAAAATTATGACTTACGTTTATCAATCAAATGTGATTGATAATAATTTTTAAAACAATTTGAATATAATTAAAATTTTTGCAATATAATACTAGTAATAACTTACACATTATTTTATAAGCATAAAATTATGAGACTCGAACCGGTTCAGAGGCATTTTAGCGGTTCGGTCCAGGTACAGCTAGAATTTTTTTTAAAGGTTTAGGTTCGGTTTAGGTTCGATAAAAAATACCGGTTTTTAGCGGTTTAACGGTTCGGTTCAGGTTCGGTTTGGATCCCTGCAGGTGCTAACTTAAGAAATAAATATTGCAATTTTTTTTATCCAAAAATTTTAGTAAAAACAAGATGATTGCTTAGATAGACTAAAGTATTGTGTATACATAAAATATATTAAACTTATTAGATATAGACTTGAGCCGGTCTTGGGGAAATTTTTGAAACTTTATATGGGCTTAGGCCGGGCTTTGGAGATTTTTTTGGATATAAAGTATGGGCCGGATCTGATCAAAAAATTATGGCCTATAAAGGTCTCAGCGCTATATAATATATCATCACATAAAATTTGGTGATTTCTAGTAATTATTTTAAATGTATAAAATATAAAATAGATATCCCAATTTTTTTTACAGACTTTTAATGTGCGTCATAAAATTATCTTCATCTTATATGTTGGGTAATTGATAATATAAATCGTTGCAAATATTTTGGTAAACCCATTTCTCTTATCTGTACTTTTAAACTCTTACATAGTGCAAATATTTACTTTTTTTTAAAAAAATGAATATATTAAATTTCTCATTTTTTGTTTTTAATTTATGTAAAACAATATTGCTAAAAATCAAATAAATAAATATTATCTATAAATTATAAGAAAATGGGAACTTATTTAACATAATTTAAGGAAAAAATAGTATCGAAAACTTTTGTATAACTTTTTAAAAAATTAATTTTTTTATAATATGTCCTTAATGCTTTATACAATGCTTCTCGGAATTGTATTATCTGTTTTTTTTTTATAAAAAAAAACTAAATATTGGATTAAACTTTGAACTCAAATGCATTATATTTTAAGATGATGATAAGCAACTATAGCACCCAAATTACAAGTAAAAATATAAAAGTATTATTCACTCCAGTCTAAAATTATTATAATTATACTCGATATAATTTTCGCGTAATAGTGTTGATAAATTATATAACTTTGGTCAACTCTAGTTGAGCATGGAAAAGTTAATTTTTATCCTTATATTATCTCATTCTTTAAGTTGAGACTCAAAAAACAATTTTTGGGGAATCGTAAGATTGACTGATTTAACACTAGCTCGAACTTTCAAAAATATTCGTATTTGAAATAATAAATTATTGATAAATTTTTAAACTAATTTTGATTAACCATATATTCAAACCATTATAATGATTTATTCTGTTATAATAGATGGTTTAAATCATGGTATTAAGAATTTCACTATAAGTGAATTACCCGCTTTTTGTGTTGACTCAAAACTTGATGGATGTAGTAATCCTTGCAAGACAATAATAACTTGCAACGTCTCTCTTATAGTGTGTGCTCCTGTTTTGTGTTGACTCAAAACCTGATGGATGTAGTAATCCTTGCAAGACAATAATAACTTGCAACGTCTCTCTTATAGTGTGTGCTCCTGAATATTGTAATGGTACTTGTACAGCTATCTTTGTTGATGCAGTCACAAATAAGCTAGCTCATTGCCAATGATAAAATATTTACTAAATTATATACCAAACCAATATAATTTATAACATGTGATTATTAGATATATTTTTTTTGAATATAAGAATTAATTTTTTTTGTTGAATAGATTTGTGATTAGATATATAAATTTTTGGGGTCTTTATCAATGATATTTTTATCTTTGTAAATATATTGAGCTATCGTTTTACATCTAGAAAGAATTCTTTTTATAGTAATATTTAATTTTATAAGAGACATAAAATTATAGTATTGTAATTCTATATACATTTGGTGTGGGTTAATTATTACATTTGTAAAATGGGATATAAAAATACATATTAAATTGTGGATTTTTAAGAAAAGTATAACAATATTTGTAAAAACACTGTAGGCCCATTATAGCTAATTTTTTCTCTGGAAGAAGTTAATAAAGAAATTTTACAATATCTTCCAAAGATATAATGCTGCAAAAAAATGAATTATTTTTATTCATTGATAATCAGATTTATAATAACATATAAATTGCTCGGTTTGTTAAATAAGGTGGTTTAAGTATAAATGGTAGTTAAGAAAACTATTATATAAATATATAAGGAAATCAAAATAATAAACTTTAAATATATAAGAAAGCATTTCTCTATAGAAAATAATTAGATTTTCATTAAATCTTAGAAATTAGAATGCCAAATATATAATTTAGAGGGGGAAGGGGTTTTAGTTGATGAAATATATTTCATTATGTGACTGTCCATTAGACCTCAGCAAATACAAATTATAACAAGCTATAAAATTTTAGCCATACTATCCTCATGTGCCTAAATATTTTTTTGAGTTTAAATTTTCAAATTGAACTCATTAGAGTCTTCCTAGCTCACTTCTTTATTTGCATTGCATGTAAAATATTTCAAACTGGTATAATAAATGTTTTGATTTTCTTTAATAAAAAACCTTATTAAACATAATTTATATCATCTTTTTCACTATCTTAAAATCTAATA